TCTCTCTCTCTCTCTCTCTCTCTCTCTCTCTCTCTCTCTCTCTCTCTCTCTCCTCTCTCTCTCTCTCTCTCTCTCTCTCTCTCTCTCTCTCTCTCTCTGCCTGCCTGTCTGTTTTGCTCTCTCGTGTCAACATTCGATCCGTCTTGTAAATCGTGTCGATTAATGTTGTACAGCATTCGGTTTGTCTTGTACAACATTCAATTCGACTGTAAATTGCAGTTACGCGCTCACGCTATGGTACGAGCATTATTCAAGAAGTGACGTAATAATAACAGACCGATATATGTATAAATATATATATTAATTCTTGCTCGACCGTAGCACCTATGAATGACGGATGTGATTAACTCATAAGTACTCCGCGAAAGGAAATGTTTCTCTACCCCCACCTCCTAACTCTCTCACTTTCCCCCCTCATCCTCTCTCCCTCTCTCTCTCTCTCTCTCTCTCTCTCTCTCTCTCTCTCTCTCTATCTATCTATCTCCCTCTCTCTTTCCCTCGCTATTTCTTCTCTCACTCTACTTCCCCACTCTACCCCTTCCCTCCCCTCGCCTTTTCTCTGGTTTTCCCCTCTCCTCCATCTCTCTCACCAATCTCTCTCCCTCTCTCTGAAAATGAACTGGTATACGCTAATCACGCACGTATGAAACCGCGACGAGCGATCAGCCTGTGACGACGTGCCTCTTATCCTGTCATGGATGATGGCAATGTGACGACTGGAACCAGCGGCTTTCACGGCGTCTACGTAACGGCGTGCTAACGCGATCGATGGCTTCGCACGCTACGCACATCGGGCTGCTCGCTGACGTAGGTACAGACGTATAACAGCGTTGTGTGGCGTCAGCCGGCTAGCGATAGCGACTAGGGGCTCGCGCCGTCTTATAAACTAGGCGCAAACAAATCTAACCACGTCACGGAAAGTCCGGAAGTATGAATGTACCGTGTCTAGGATTTCACGACAGCTTTGAGAGTAGTTTCATTTTATGATGGATACAAATATGTTAACCCGCCAACGACGGGTTCGAAACCACCCGTCTAGCCGTGATTTTCGAGGTTAATGAAGTTATTTGGGCCTGTCATCTAAAATTCGCTGGATATGTAGAGAGGCAGCTGGACCGGCTGTCGTAAGATTTTCGGTAACACGTATTTGTGTTCATTTTAAGATGAAACTACTCCTCTACTTGTACCTCAGGATGACGATGAACTAATGACTGAAAAACAACGATGCACTTTGCGGGATTCACATCAAATACCGTATTAACGTCACGACGTCGTCGTTCTAACATGTGTTAACTACTGACGTCACGACGTCGTTATAACACGCGCTAATTGCTGACGTTACGATGCCGTGTCGTATATAGATATAGACGAGCGCGTTAGTGTTGTTACAGCTAAACGAGCTAGTACTTTACGACTACTGCGTCCATATATAAAGTGTTAATGGGTCGGGTACGCTTAGAGCAGACGAGGCCCGCGAAAGAAATCCCGTGGTTTTCACAGGTATATACATATCAGGGCCTCCTCAGGATGTTTTAAAGTTTGAGCCAAGGTCTGATCCACCAAAGAAATTTTTTAGCCACCAATGAAAAATTATAGCCACTGTTCACTTTATCGTATGTGCTAGGTAAGGCATAAACAGGTGATGGGTATGGGAAAAGAACGTGTACGAAAACATTTTACGACACACGACACTGCAATTTGACGATTTCATTATTCAAACGTTTTGTGAGCAGTTAAACCAATCGCCATTTGCATTCGCCACTTAGTGTAGTACAATCTCTACTGTCATTTATTCATCGCATTTTGGGAAGGTGGCGAACGCCAGCGGTAGGCCTGCATATGGTCACTTAGTAACGCTGAGAGGGTCTATGTCCCCCGGGGTACTGCCGGAACGTACCCTGGGTACGGTGGGGTATACCGGAACGTACCCTGGGTACGGTGGGGTATACCGGAACGTACCCTGGTACTATCTAATATGTCGGACCGTACCTCGCCTACTCCACTAACGAGTCTAGGGAGTCGCCTACCCCTACTCCTTAACCCGAACCCGAACCCTAATCCTAACCCTAACCCTAACCCTAACCCTAATCCTATAGGGGGACTAACCATATCAAATAGTGACCAGGGTACGTTCCGGTATACCGGACCGTACCCAGGGTACGTTCCGGCAGTACCCTGGGGGACATAGACCCTATGAGCCTTAGTAACCCAAATGTTTGCTTAGTCTGCAGTATTCCTCCAGTAGTGAGTACGTAAGCAAAGTAAGTGAGTGAGAATGTAGAGATAGGCGCGCGAACATGCAAACTCTATTGTCTCGGGGGTTTCATGGGTATATAAAGTGGCTTAGTGATGCTGCTTACGGAAGTTCCGTAGACTGCAGCATTCCTCCAGCAGTACGTAGTTAGGTGGATAGAATGTGTAGAATGCGGTTCTGACGCCCTGCCGCCGACTTCACCAGCAGCCCTCCCCGCAGTGAGAAACCAAGTAGTTAGAGGGGGGAATGTAGCGAGAGGCATGCGCGCACGCGAAACCCTCAGCCGAATTGAATACGGTTACAATATTGTCGACTAGCTCCTATCCGCCTCCCTGTTATTAGGCGGAAAATCGGCGACCGTTGGTCGTTCGTGATGAGCGACTGCTGTTAGTGAAGTTTATAGGGGGTTAGGATATGAAAGCGAAATATCGGCACAGACGCCCGCGGACACAAATAGCAACTTTCCATTCGCATTTATCGATTGGTTTAGTAGAAGATTTCCACTTCCACCCACGGCTGCGCCATCGCGATGTTCTCTGTGTGTGTGTGCGTGCGTGCGTGCATGAGTGTGTGTGTGTGTCTGCGCGCGCGAATTGACTAGGCGACCTATTTACATGTAAAATAATCTTTTCGTTGAATAGTTTTGGGCGCGTGGATACAATGTCAAACATTGGTCTTTTCAAACCATCAATCAAATCAAATCAAATCAAACCAAAACCAAATATAAAAAATCAATAAAAAAAAATCAAACAAATTCAAACCACGGCGACGAAATTGCAGACTGAAAGTTTCCCTGCGCGAGTTTAGACTAATGCATCGTAGCGTCGATGCAACGTAACAATGCCCTACGAGACAGATTGAACGATGGTACCTTTCGTAACTAGCATATTTTTACTTTCAATGTTAACCGTGCAGGGAAGGCTGCAGATATATCCATTCATATTATTATCTGCGGTTTCGGCACAGTTACATGAGTTAAAGGAAATCAGATTTATGGATGCATTGATATTCCCTTGGACCTTTTTTAAGCAAAAATATCACAGAAAATGCCACAATTTACCCAGCCCCTTGGAGTGATTGACAGCTGGCTCCAGCCAAACACTATATGGGGCGTTCTAAAAATGTTGCTTAGCAACTAAGTGAAACAAACTCGACAATTTGGCGCGCACGCGTGAAAAAAAAACACGACAAAAAACTGGTCCAACTCGACCGACCAAGCAATAACATCGAAAGGGGGCATGGATTATATCGCTTAGACGGACAGTTCAGGTTTTATATGAATCTTTAGAGCAAGAATACTACCTACTCAGCAGTAAGGGGCAATGCGTAGCAGGACTATTCCCCGACGAACCCCCCGGTGTTTTCAAACGTATTTCGCCAGCCGGTGGGTGGTAGACGAATTCCACAAGCTTCCCGCGCGAAAACTGTTGTATCCGTTTATTGTTTGACACGCCGCGGGAACCGCATGTGCAGCACGAACGCAACAGCAACAAACTCCCCCACCCCACCCCGGCAAGCGGTTATTAACCTGCTAGCCGCAGATTCCTGTAAAATGCCGCCCGTGGTTTTCTGTCAGCAGTCGGTCGGCCAGTGCTGAGGCGCTACATCTGCTCTCTCGTATCCCCCTCATCCGGGGCTACGAAGCCTAAATATGTTTCCAGCAGTGCGTAGAGGGAAGGGAACCCCCGGGCGGCTGCGCACACAGGAGCCAATCACGGGTGCCGACGGAAGCGGGTGCCGAAAAAGAGGTCATGTTGATTTTTTCGGGGCGACGATTGCTTCACGCATTGGGCCTATTAGGACCGCGTGGCTGTGATTAACCGGCTGCTTGTAGTTCTAAGACGGTGCAGTGTGAATGGCAGGCAGCTAATATAACTGTTGTGCGAGCAAGCAGCGCGGGTGAATTGAATCCGAACGAACGAAGCCCAAACCATGACCCTGACCCGCACCCGAATCCTCAGCAGAGGCCTAACCTGTCAGTCATATCATAAATAAATAAATAAATGAATGAATGAATCAATCAATGAATGAATGAATATATACATATATATATATATATATATATATTATACTTTTTTTTATATATATAATGTAGTATATTCATATTTCAACAATGGTTCTAACTTCTTAGTGCTGACAAATTCTGCTTAATATAATATCAGCTGTAAACAAAAACCAATTCTGATCTAAAATCTTGCTAATATCATTAGCACTGTAATGCATAATTAGCCTTCATTATCCACATTCTTCCATCCCTAACTTGATGCTTTGTCATTTAGATTGAATTCATTAGCGCTTATTCATTAACATGTTGTTCGTTGAGAGACGTGTTGTTGATATTGTCACGAAGAGACACGAGGTGTATTGGTCTCATATGACATTTTGGCACAGATTATTCTCATATCAGTGTGTTGACTCATGACAAGCCGTGTTTGTGTGTTTCTAGGCGCCGGGTTCAGTCAGTCAGGATCACCAGAGGTATGGCGGCGACAGGCCTCGCCTCAACCACCATCTATCTTTCCTGAAGTCACATAAACCACGACCGGAGTCAGCGAAGACGACGAGGCACCACTCCGACGTAAGCACGCATAGAAATTAGCTAATACCAACTACCCTACTACTAATAAGGTATTATGAGCTCTTGGCTGTAATATTACTGACTTTAAGCGCATTGTTCACATCTTATTGCACAAAAAATTGCTCCGTAAAAATCAAAGCGATGCTGTTTTGGAAATTTTCTGGTCTACGTGATTTTCAACAATTAGGTCCTACCGCGGAAACAAGGTATTGTATGGTTTCCGGGCATCCAGGCCCCGCTTACAAAACAGAAGCTTGCACAACAATACCCACAGAACATGAGAGGCTGGCTCCCCGGCTCCAATCCTATTAGCGATATATATGATAAGAATGCCAGCTGGGCCAGTATTACCCGCGGATGCGCATTATTCGATTATTATACGTTCGCTGATTATGGCAACCTGTCATGCTCGCGGCTCGCCACGACCGCCAGGGGGCGTCGCGGTCGTTATCGGACGTCATACGAATTGTGGTATACGGATCGAATTACGCACCTTTGGTGAGGCAGAAAGTGCCTTCCATAAGCCAACACGGCAGCAGCAGCTGCGGCGATGGCAGGTGAATGCTGCTAGTGTTTAAGCGACCTACCGGATACATATCCTCTTCTGCGGCCGGTCATATAAGACGTAACCTTCCGATAACGCATACACGCGCGTCGACACGCGCGCACGCACACACACGCGCACGCACACGTACATACATGAACACATTTACATAGTAACGCCACGCACACGCACACGCACTCGCGCACGAACACAAATTCACGCGCGCGCACGCACGCACGCACGCACGCATACACACACACACACACACGCGCGCGCACACACACACACCACACACACACACGCGCGCGCGCGCACACGCAGAAGTACACGCCTAAACACACGCGCACGCACCCGCGCAGGCACATGCACGCACACGTGCAAGAGATTTGCAAACTTGTAGCACTGCGCCGAGATGAGATGTAATACAAACAAATGACGATGGGATACTCGGTTGTTGTAGGCGGTGTATGTACACACACTGACAGAAAGCCATCCTATCGAGCTCTTCCCATGATTAATGACTTCGCAGTGTTGCCCAACATTCAATATGTGTCAGTGATGGCGTAGCTAGAAGAAGGCTTTATTGCACCCATTACAGAAATTTAATACACATGCAGTGTCGACGAGCGGTGAGCAGCAAATGGTCAGAGTGAGCTGGCAGTAGTGCGGACACGTGGTGATAGGCAGGCGGCGAGAACAGGCTGGCAGCAAAGTAGATACATGTTGATAAGCAGGCAGTAATAACATACCGGCAGTAGCGTGGACACGTGGTGAGAGGCAAGCAGGCAGTGCGAGAAGAATTCTGGCAGCATCGTGGGTGGGTGTACGATGCTGAGCTCTCTGCCATAGCACCGCACACGCACGCACACACACACACACACACACACACACACACACACACACACACACACACACACACACACACACACACACACACACACACACAGCGCGCGCGACGCGACGACACACACACACGCACGCACACACACACACACACACACACACACACACACACACACACACACACACACGACACACACACACACACACACACACACACACAC